TTACTGGAGGAAGGGGTTCATTAAGTCCTTTGCTTAAAAACAGGCATATAAAGGAAATGGAGGTAGAGTTGGGAACAGGTTTTGCCTTCTTTCAGGAGTAAAAACCAAACACGCAAGTTTGAAACAACTTCCACTTACCAGCTCAGAAGGTAGTAGGAAACAAAGCTTCATAATTTTGCCACATCTGTGGTGTCCACTGCATTTCTCAATGGTGATTGGGCCTCTGAGTCAACCTCCAGAATAAGTTAGAAAGCTCTGGGACCCTCCACTGGTGGTGGAACCTTTGCAGAGGGGATGGGAGGGAAGGAAAGTAGGGCAGGTCCTGCAGGCAGTGCAAGGAAGAGAAGGATTCCTGCCAGCTGCGATGGGGCCTGCCTGGGCCTGAAAAGGAGCTTGAAGGCGTAATTTGTATTTCTTTGAGTCATGCTCTCACTCTGTTGCCCAGGCTGGAGTGCAATGGTACAATCATGGTTCACAACAGCCTTGAACTCCTGAGCTCAGGTGATCCTTCTGCCTCAGCCTTTCGAGTCAATGGGACTACAGAAATGTGCCACCACACCAGACTGACTTTATTTTTTGTAGAGATGAGGTCTTGCTATGTTGCTCAGGCTTGTCTTGAACTCCTGGGCTCAAGCAATCCTCCCACTTTGGCCTCCCAAAGTGCTGGGATTACAGGTGCGAGCCACTATGTCTGGCATGTGTAATTTTTAAAAGTTACTCACTTGTGAGAGATCCTGCAGGATCCCAGGTAATAGAGAGCTGAGGTCTTGAGGTCATCCTGAGACTGACATCAGGACTGGTTTGATACAGAATGAGCACCTAGAACAGAATGTGTCCCCATGGCCTGGAGGGAGGGTCAGCCACAGGCAGGGTCAAATGGCTCCAACAGTGAAGGTTAACATGATTTGGAGGTAGATCACCACTGCTGTGCTTAGTAGGGATCTGTGAGTTTTGAGCATTTAGAGCTCAGTCTCTTATAGCTGACAACTGCTCAAAGCCCATGTCACCCTAGGCTAACACCACTGTACTTTCTACTTCTCTGAGGGCATTGGGTCAGGAACAGCCTCTGTTCAATCTCATCTTTGGTATAAAAGCAACTAACTTCCTTATTTTGAGATCATCTGAGGTGGCACTTCCCTGATGCAAAAGTTTGTGCTCTTTGCTACATTCACAACACACACTTGGCAGCACATTAGTTTATGGAGCACTTTCTTTTACAGCCTCTCCTTCTGCGTTTGTCTCCGCAAGTTAGCCAGAAACTCTGTCGGAATGTCTCCCTGGAATAGTCTTCCTTCTGTATACACTATACACCAGCATGCTGCCAAAGCATTGTTCTGGGTTAATTCGAGTCAGGTGGTAAGTGGTGAAGGAGCCACTGCAGTCTGACTCATAAGACTCATAAGGAACACACACATTTTGATATGCACTCCACATGTAATATACAAAGTCAACGATTTCATCAATATCAACACAATAAAATTTTCACATAGAGAATGCCATATTTTAAGAATACTGCAGTCGACATTGTGAATACATTAAATAACTCAACTGTATGGTTAAGTTTATGTTATGAATTTCAACTCATTTAGAAAAATACTGAATTACTATACTATGCTTTTAGACTTTATGAAGTACTTTTACTACCTATTAACTTTTCTTCTTACACCCCTGTGGGTTAGAAATACAGCAACAGTCAATTGTGTTTTCTCAGAGAAACCATAGCTTCATAGAAGGTATGAATTGCCATCCCGTGGATACTGAGCAGCAGAAAACTCTGGGGTGCTGACTCCTGGCCAGTGCTCAGGCTACAGTGGTTCCAAATCAAGTCACTCAAAGGCACGGTTCTCTCTTGAGTCAGCAAAGGTCAGCAAAGGGAGCAGAGGCATCATGACACTATCAGGAAGCCAAGTTATCTTTTCTCCATGTTTGAATCAAGGGAGAAGTTCATCTCTCAGGAGCAGTATGGCAGGAGGGTGGGTGTGGAGATAACATGTGTTTTAATGTCTAAGCCATTTCTCAAATGTTTGCTTTAATTTTTTTAAGTGAGCCGGGTTCAGTGGCTCAGCCTGTAATCCCGCGCCTTTGGGAAGGTGAGGTGAGTGGATTGCCTGAGCCCGTGGGTTCGAGACCCGCCTGGGCAGGAGAGACCTCATCTCTACAATAAATCAAAAAATTAGCTGGGCATGGTAGCGCGTGCCTGTAATTCCGGCTACTCGGAAGGCTGAGGTGGAAGGATCACCGGAGCCCAGCAGGTTAAAGCTGCGGTGGCCAGGAGCGGCCACTGCACTCCAGTCTGGGTGACAGAGGGAGACTCTAACTCAAAAAAAAAAAATTTTTTTAAAAATGTAATTCAGTGTTTTGTAAGTACTGTGTATTTAAAAAGTTGTACAGTCATTTCCAGGTCTGAAAACAATGATGTTGGTAATTTAATGGGTATTGTGTTGAATCTGTAGATTGCCTTTGGTAGGATGGACATCTTAACAATGTTGATTCTTCCTATCCATGAGCATGGAATATTTTTTCATTTGTTTGTGTCTTCTTGGATTTCTTTAAGTATTGTTTTCACTGTAAAGGTCTTTCACTTCTCTGGTTAGGAAGATGTTGAGGTATTTCATTTTTTTTGTGACTATTGTGAATGGGACTGCACTTTTTGTCTGTTTCTCTGCCTGTTTGTTGTTGGTGTATAAGAATGCAACTGTTTTCAAATTATTCTACCAAAAAGATACCTGCATGCATATGTTTATTGCAGCACTATTCACAATAGCAAAAAACATGGAACCAACCATGCTGCCCATTGAAACTGGACATGGTACATATACATGATGGAATATTATGCAGCCATAAAGAAGGACAAACATATGAACTTTGCAGCTTGGATGCATTTAGAGTCTGTCATACTCAGTGATCTATCACAGAAACAAAGAACTGAGTGCCATATGTTCTCACTCATAAGCGGACCCTGGACATTTACCATAATACTACAAGAAAGGGATTGGCAGTAGTGGGACACTGCCAGGGGAGGGAAGGGGTCACATAACATCAATAAGGACACCTGATCTCAAACCAGATAAATTAGGGACCAAAGGGAGGCCCAAACTTTACCTGTGTGATGACCACTTATAAACCTAATCCTGAATTGTACCCCACATCTTAAAAAAAAAAGTTGTACAAGTACCACCTGTATCTAATTTCAAAACATTTTCATCATTCCCAAAAGAAACCCCATACCTATTAGCAGTCACTCCCCATCCTGCTCTCCTCCTAGCCCCTGGCAACCACTTATTTATTTTCTGTCTCTATAGATATTCCTATTCTGGACATTTCATATAAATGGAATCATACAATATGTGGCCTTTGTGTCTGGCTTCTTTCACTTAACATTATGTTTTTAAGGTTCATCCATGTTGCAGCATGAATGCTTTTTATGATCATTTAAGACATTTCTGAACCCCCAGGGATTCTTCCTCTGATTTATTTTCTTTTTTTAAAATTTACTTTTTATTTTTTGAGTTGGAGTTTTACTCTGTCAACCAGGCTGGAATGCAGTGGTATGATCACAGCTTACCACAGCCTCAATCTCCTAGGCTCAGGCAATCCTTCTACCTCAGCCTCCTGAGTAGCTGGAACTACAGGCATGTGCACCATGCCCAGCTAATTTTTTGATTTTTCCTAGGGGGGGGGGTCTCTCTATGTTGTCCAGGCTTGTCTGAAACTCCTGGGCACAAGCAATCCTCTCACCTCAGCCTCCCAGAGTGCTGGGATTACAGGTGTGAGCTACAATGCCCAGGTTCTGTTGCCCCATTTACTCCCTGCTGTGAGGATAAAGAGGATGGAGGACCAGAGTCAGGGCAACAGGAGTGGCCCTCATCCTGGTAGTGCCCAGAGAGAAGAAACAGACCACCCAGGAACATCACCAACATTCCACCACAGTCTCCTGTGTAGGTCAGAACCATCAGCAAACAGTCTTAACTAGACAGGTCTGTGCATGGCATACAATTCAGTCCAGCCCCAGGCATTTTCAAGGCAGCAACCCCTGCATGCTCTCCAGACAATCATGCAGTCAGACCTGCTGCCTAAACAAAGGTAAAGTCCAGCATCATCCAAAAAGAGTCAGCCAGCTGACCCACTCCTTCCGGGAACTTTCAGGAGCTCACTGTTAAATTGTAGAGACACAGTGAAACTTAACAAATTCATCTCACCTCAGTTGTCTTTTGCTAGCACTCAGATTGAAGCCCCTATGATTGATCCCAGGACAAATATAACTTGTAAACCTCCCTGATGTCCATATCCAACTCCATGTCAAGTTGATTTAACATCCAGGTGGCCTGAGCCAGCAGCTTACTACTAAAAGTCTTTCCAATTGGGCATAACATTAGATATTCTTACAGCTATTCTTCAATGTTCTCATCATCTCCTTTTTAGTATAAGATAGACAATGAATTAGAATGCCATTTGCAGAAGAAGAAATGGAGGCCTGGTAAGGGCAAGTACCCATATTTATTTGTAAAAGGTGATAGAACTAAAATGAGAGGTCTTCTCTCTATCCCCCTACCCAGGGTGAACCAAGTGGATGCATAACTGAACACCCCTTCCAGGGAAAAGGCGAGACAGAAATTAGTCAGCTCTCAGTTGTCCAGATCTCAGGCACATGTTTAAATCCAAGTTGTAGTCTTCCTGCCACCAGACCATGTATTCTTCTTCTTTTATAATTACGTAGAATATACCCAGAACACAACCTACAACATTGACAGCAAAATATCATAGGATGGTCAACTTGCAGTGTCCTTCACCACTCCAGAGTTCTCCAACACAGACCAAAGCCCACCACAAACAAAAGAAAGAGAGAAAAGTGACATATATTCACTTTACACAAAAGTCCAAAATAAAATCAGGCCTTCTACTAGATTCAGCCTGCCGAGGAAATAACAGGAGAAGGAGCAATGACCCCCAGCCTCCCTCTCTTTCCCACCCCGACCTTCCCATCCAGCCACCCTTCTTACCCTCCCTTCAAACGTGGCGGTGGTTCCTTCTTTGACACAGAGGTTCCGAGGGGGCAAAATGAAGGCAGGGGCCTCGGTCAGCGGCATGGAGCCGACTCTGGAGGGGTCCACACTGAGGGAGGTTTTGGAAATGTGTGATGAAGCAACCAGCTTCACGTCTCCCATGGTCTGCAAGAAGGAAGGAAGAGGACCAGGTCAGATCAGCAAAGCACAGCCTTGTCTTCCCTTCAGGCATTGGCATGCCTAGCTGGTGGTATGGGTTTTATGTGGAGCAGATGCCCTGTTAGGTCAATGTCCACTTGGAGCTCCTCTCTGGGAACGAGAAACACTGTGTCTTCTATACACAAAGTGCCAGAATGAGGTACAGCCCAGGGGACCCCAACCCCCGGGCCACAGAGTATGACTTGTTAGGAACTGGGCTGTACAGCAGGAGGTGAATGGCAGGCAAGGGAGTGAAATTGCATCTGTATTTACAGCTGCTTCTCATCACTTGCATTACTGCCTGAGCTCTACCTCCTATCAGATCAGCACTGAAAATGTTTCTTCCATTTTCAACAACCTATCTTTGTGAAGCAGGGTTTTCTGCAATGACAGCAATCAAAATGAGACTATAGAGTAGACTGGACATAAGCAACACACTTCAGGTGTCACTGTCTCCCATATTCCCAGATGGAACCATCTAGTTGCAGAAAAACTACTCCCACTGATTCTGTATTATGATGAGTTGTATAATTATTTCATTATATATTACAGTGTAATAAGAGTAGAAATAATGTGCATGATAAATGTAATGCCCTTTTATCATCCTGAAACCATCCTGACCCCATCAAGTCCATGAAAAAATTGTCTTCTATGAAGCCGGTCCCTGATGCCAAAAAGCCTGGGGACCACTAGTATAGCCCATCCAAGATGCCAGCTCCCAGGACCATGGAGAACTTTCCATTTTTTCACCATTCCCTTCATCTAGGAAGGTGGCAACTGGGGACAAGAATGGAGAGACTGAATGGTGTTCAGAGTTTTCGTAATAGGTTTCTATAATCTGTATTTAATAGTCATTGGTCTTTCAGAATCGACATCTACATCAAGCACTTGTGGTAGAAAGTAAAAGTTGCTTTTGCCTGAACTGTGAGAGCTCACAGGCTATAGAAAAATGAAATCCATACTCTAAGAAAGGAAGGGGTTAACACTGCAAGGACATTGGGTGAGGTGAGGAGGGAGTTTGTGGTTGAATGAAGGGGAGCAGGTAGGCTAGAGAGGACATCTACCTCTGAGAACTAGATTGTGACAAAGGTTCAAAGGTCACAGATCATCAGAGAGGGAGATGTTAAGATTATCCAAGCTAACTTCTCCATTTATAACTGAGGCCCAGAGAGGGTAGGTCATTTGCCCCAGTAGACAGAGCAACGTGATAGCATCACTGGCAAGAATATCTCAAACCCTGACTCCTGGTCCAGGGCCAAGTGGGGACTAGATAAAATGTGGCTGGGGTTGGCAAGGTTGGTGGGAACAAAGTAATAGATGTAACAGATGAGTACCATTGCAGCAATGTTCAACTCTTTTGTGATGTCTGATTATTCTCAACTTTAAATGTTTCATGGTAAACCTGGAAAATACCAATATGTTAAAATAACAAATTATCATTTACTGAACACCTACTCTGTTCCAGACACTGTATCGAGTACTTTATACCTTATTTCTTTGTTTTAATCCTCAGGATAACGCCATGAACTACCTACAGTCATTTCACAAATGAAGCAGCTGAGCTTAGACAGGAGGAATAACTTGTTCATTACACAGCTATTGAGTGGTAGAAATGGAAGTTGAACCCAGATGTTGAACCCAGATGTATCAGGCTCTAGAGACCTTTTGGCCACACTACACAGCCTAAAGGAAAAAATATGAAAATATCCATAATTCTGTTACCCAGAATGATGGTGCATCTCTCTCCAATTTTGTTTCTATGAATATAAAAAAACCACATATTTTATATGGTTGAAAGCATACTATTTATATGCTGTTTCCTGTTTTTTTCTCCCACAACTTTTCTTAAAATAAGGGAGAAAAAGTTGCTCTTAAGAAATCTTATTTAAAAAAAAGAAATCTGATCTAAAAAATATTCAATCATATAGAAATGTATGATTTACACAACTATCTCTCTATTGCTGGTCAATTGGATGATTTCTAAATCTTTTATGATAATATTGCCTTTGATGAGCCTAGTTGTGCCTAAATCTATGTCTGAATTCCTGAAGATTTCCTTAGGATTGATCGCCAAAATGGAATTATTACAGGTACAAATCTGGTTGCAAACAACAGAAAAAGACTCTGGTTCTCATGAACAGAGAAGGGATTTTGTTGGAAAGATTATTGGGGTTGGAGGAGTTTTCAAAATCCATAGAAAAAACTAGAGAACCAGGCTGGGAAAACAGGCTGCAGATCAGAGAAGTTAGGCTGTCAGACTCCAGTCAAGGTCGTTGGATAACTGCTGCCATGGCCTGCGATACCTCCTAAATATTCCCATCCCTCATTCCAATGGCAAGTGGGATTCTTACCAGGCTGGGTCAGCTCCAGGTTGGGGCTATATCTTACCGTGAAATCCCTTGTGCCTGGGCCCACACGTGGGGCAAACATCTGTTGACTGAAGCTCTTCCTAGTTTTTGCTTTTCTGTTCATTTTTTTGGCTGTCCAGTCGCACACTTAAGCCCTATGTTGTGAGTCAAGTAATCAGAAATGAACAGTGCTTCCTGGGGCATGTAATTAGTTTAATAAAAACGAAACAGGGATATACTTTTTGAAGTCCATGTCAAAGTAACAAAGTAACTAGATTTGTATGTAACAGGGCACATCTCCTGCTTGACAAACCCAGCTTTCTCCTTCACTGATAAGGTATTAGTTTTGCAAACAAAATTCCTTTCCCAATGATAAGACTCACAAGCTCACTACAGTAGGTAACAATAAAAGCAAATGCTTGTGTAGCACTTACTATATGTGGGGGACTGTTCTAAGCACTTTATAAATACTCATCTGCTCCTTATAACAACATTGAGATAGATAAGCTCATCACCCCATTTTATGAATTAGAAACCTGAAGCACAGTAAGATTAAGAAATTTATCCAAGTTCATGCATCAAGTAGGGGGTAGAACTGGCATTTGAACCCAGGTGCCTGGCGCCAAAGATCTTATTCCTAACCACTGGACCCTCTTGCCTTCTGTAAGCAGGCAGAGTTGGCTGGTGGGAGAGGAGCCTGAAGTTGGGATAACAGGGGAAAAGGTTGAGAGCTGCTTCCACATACATGTAAAATTGAGATTTTTCTATTTGTCAGAATAAATCACCAACAACATTAAAAGATGGATGATAATCTGAGATTAAGTGTTTGCAACAAAAACAAAGAGCTAGGATACTTTACATATAATAAGAAAATAACCCAACAGATCAATGGCCAGAGGATATGACTTGCACAGAAGACAGACCAATGACCAATAAGCAAAGGAATACTGCCTAGCCCCAATAATCACCCAAGAGTACAAATTAAGAACAAGCTATTTTTTAATTAACAAACCAAACTGACATTTAAAAAGAAAGATAACATACAATCACTGTGAGACCACAGTGAGATGGGCATGCTTATCCTTTCCTACAGGGAATATAAATTTGTACAAACTTTCTAGAAAGAAATTTGGCAAAAAGATTCTGAAAAAAAATCCATCTCTTCCCCATAATCCTACACTTAGAAATATAGTATTCAGAAAGAATTAGAGATACAGCCCAAAATTTATTGATAAGACCACTAATTGTATTATTTATAGCAAAAGCTAGACAAAATTTTTAAAATCCTGTTAAATATCCAAAAGTAATAATTGGTTACATACAGTGGAATTCCAAGCAGTTATATGGGTATATATTTACAAGGAAAATAATGATATGAATTTGATGGCATAGAAATTTTTAATTAAAAAAACCATATTATGGAAAATTTCATATATATAGAAAAGTAGTAACAATAATAAAATAAGCATTCTAAATACCCATCCTAGATTCAACAATTACCATTTTGTCATGCTTATATTATTATATTTGTATTTGTAGAACCATTTCAAAGTAGTCCTGACATGTTTTAATGGCAAGAATTAGGGTCTATTCATTCATTCAATTAAAATATACCTATTGGACATTTACCATTGGCCAAACTAGGTACTAGGTATATAGCAGTGGACAATTGTGTGTGTGTGTGTGTGTGTGTGTGTGTGTGTGTGATATGTTTGTGTGGCATGTGGTGAGAGTAGTAACATGTGGGCAGAGAGGGAATAGGGCTCTGACATCCTGCATTGCTACCCAGGACCACATCTCAGAGAGAACCCTATTCCCTGTGCCCTCTTCTGCTGCCACTGAGGCAAGGTGATGGATATACTCTGTGCAGTCAGGACCAGGTGAATGGTTGGAGTGGAGGTGGGAACAGGTGTCATGAGGATCAGATTTTTGTGACCCTGCCACAAATCCAGGGGCACAGCTACTTTCTAGTTATGGGCTGGACAAGGTACTTCAACTCCCTTGTCCTCAGTTTCCTTTCCTGTCGAATGGAATGATTACATCAACCTCACAAGTTTGAAGGAAGTATCTGACTGTTTAAAAAACACATGGCACAGCATAAAAGGCACTCAATAATGGTAGCTGTCAGCATCATCATCATCCAGTTCCCAAACGGAAGCCAGTTTCCCTATCCTGAAGACACAGACCCTTTCTTTCACCAAGGACAGTAAGAAGCCCAAGTCAGCCCAATTATCTTCAGGCCAGGGAATGAGTCAGATACTGGAAAACAGTATTAGGAGGCAGAGACAGAATCTCAGGCAGCTTCCTACAGCGCTTCACGTCCATGCTAGCAGCACCATCTGATGAGCAAGGTATTTGTGCTGGACAATGTACTGGGCACCCATCTCACTCAATCCCAACAGTCCTGCAGGGCAGTTCTGATTATTACCATTTCACAAATGAGGACATCGTGGCTCAGAAAGCCAACCACACTTGTCTAAGGTCACCCAGCCGAGAATAGAAACCAAACCAAGGTCTGAGTGCAAAGTCATATGCTGCTGGCTGCCTGAAGGCCCCCATGGCCCAGATGAGGCATTCTTGCTATCCCTAGTAATGAGAGATGCAATAGGCAGAGGCTGGAAGTTGCACCAAGGAAGCAAGGCAGGGAATGTGCCTCTCCCT